CATTTCTCAGTCACAGGCCTTTCTGAAAGGCCTCTGCAGTCAAGAACCAAGTTATGGATTCAATCCATATCTCGGTTCTGCAAGTCCTATGCAGCTGAGGATCGAGCTATGGATTCAATCCATAGCTCAGTTCTCAGCTGCAGAGGCCTGCTGGAAAGGTCTGACTGCAAAATGCAGGCTGGAATGCAGCTGCAGAATGAAGTTGCTCCTTCAGCCGCAGAAGAAGTGGACTGGCTGGGCGGGACTGTCGGTGTCGGAGGTGAGTAAGACACCCTCCGAAAATAAGACCTGGTGCCTCTTTTGGAGGCAATTTTTTATTTTTTTTTAAATAAGACCGGATCGTATTTTTGGGAAAACATGGTACCTAGCTGCTGGTCATCTTCTTCTTTCCTACTATCTTTCCCAGCATTAGAGCTTCTCCCAAAAACTATGTCTTTACGTAATGGGTCTGAAGTAGGATAATTTGAGCCTGGTCATTTGTGTTTCAAATGAAAAGTCTAGGTTGACTTGTTCAATGATTCATTTGTTTGTTTTCTTGGCTGTCCAGGTATTCCCAAGAGTCTTCTCCAACACAAAAGTTCAAAAGTATCCGTACTCTTCCCACTTTGCTTCCTATTTTCACTTCTACCTAGAGAATCCCAAGGAGCAGCAAGGCTTGCAAGATTCTGATCTTTGTAGATATAGACACAATATTTGAATATCTTTTCCCCTGACTTCATGGCTGCTTTACCAAGTGTTAGTCTATGGCAGGCATGTCAAACTCGCGACGTTGCCATTGCTGGTAATGGGGTGAGCGCAGCTTCCATGTGACGTGTCCGGCCCGCAGGCCGGCAGTTTGACACCCCTGGTTTATGGTGTATTTCTTGATTGCTTGTTCCTTTATTGTTCGTGATTAATTCAAAAGGCAGAAAGTATCTATTACTTCAATACCTCCACTGCCAGTTCTCAGGCTGCTTCTACCTACAATCATTAATTTGGTCTTTTTTATATTCAATCATAGCCCCATTTTTTTTCACTGTGCTTCTTGACTTTTATTATTACAGCTTGCAGGCCCTTTGCGTTTTTGGGTTTCAGGGTAGTGTCATCCACATAGTACATGTTATTGATGTTTCTAATATCTCCCAAACCAATGTTGTAGCACATGCAGTGCATCAGAGAACAGAGCAGTAGATTAATTCAGCAAAGGTCAAAGATTCTGTCTACAAAAGATGTGGATTCACAAATGCTAGAAATTAAGAAATTAAAGTCATGAAGCAAGCACGCATTTACCTGCCAAGGTAGATAAATTCTACAATTTTACAGAAAAAAATGTGGCTCAGCTCAGTTCTATAGGGAGGAAGAGACAGCCCACTCAAGGTTCTCTCTTACATCTCAGAGAACATGAAGCCTGAGCCCTTGTGAAACAATCCCTTTCCCTTACTCCACTTCTCCTTTGATGAGACAGAAAATTATGGTTCTAACCTAAAAGCAACCATATAAGTGTCTCTGTACTAATCAACATGCCATGTACTGAAGTCTGTTTTTTCTCTTTGTGTCTTTCAGTGCATTAGCTGATGAATTGACAGCAGCAAAAGAAGCTAAGGGGGAAAAAAACCAATTGACAAAAGAAAGTAGCATAGACAACATAGTTAATAGGCTCTGGGTTCTTATGTCAATTGAATCAAATGGCTGAGAGAAGAAAGCTGGGTAAGCAAACAATATGAAAAAGGATGAAAGAAGACAGAAATATAAAGTTTTCAAAGCCAGATGCAGAAAGAAAATCTACCCAATTGAAAACAATTCTTTGTAAACGACATGGGTGTTGGAAGGCTCTGTGCTCAGATACAGAGAATAACAAGTCTTCTAATCTCTCCAATAAAGTATTTCTCAATTCAATTTGCACAATATCTTTGCATAACTGTGCATTCCACACAGATGATGATGAATGGGTTATATTTATGCTCAAAATGGTTAACAAAAGGGCTTCCAGCCACAGACAGCTCATAGTCACAAGGCAAATGTTTCATCAGGCAAGGATAGGCAGAGACGGATTGCAAATATCCTTGCTTTGCAAGGAAAACACAAACACGGGTTTGTCAATATAAGTTACTTAAGAAATTGACAACAGGAAAACACTTTTTGCTCTTGGTTTTTCTTAACATAAAACAATTGTAGACATGTAGACATTGTAATAGTAGTAGCTAGTAGTAGTAGTAGTAACTGTGAGAGGGATCTCGGAGTCCTAGTGGACAATCACTTAAATATGAGCCAGCAGTGTGGTGCAGCTGCCAAAAAGGCCAACACAGTGCTGGGCTGCATTAACAGAGGGACAGAATCAAGATCACATGAAGTATTAATACTTTACAATGCCTTGGTAAGGCCACACTTGGAATACTGCATTCAGTTTTGGTCACCACGATGTAAAAAAGATGCTGAGACTCTAGAAAGAGTACAGAGAAGAGCAACAAAGATGATTAGGGGACTGGAGGCTAAAACATATAAGGAACGGTTGCTGGAATTGGGTATGTCTAGTTTAACAAAGAGAAGGACGAGGGGGGACATGATAGCAGTGTTCCAATATCTCAGGGGCTGCCACCAAGAAAAGGGAGTCAAGCTATTTTCCAAAGCGCCTGAAGGCAGGACGAGAAGCAACGGGTGGAAACTGATCAAGGAGAGAAGCAACCTAGAACTAAGGAGAAACTTCCTGACAGTTAGAACAATTAACCAGTGGAACAACCTGCCTCCAGAAGTGGTGAATGCTCCAACACTGGAAGTCTTTAAGAAGAGAATGGACAGCCATTTGTCCGAAATGGTATAGGGTTTCCTGCCTGGGCAGGGGGTTGGACTCGATGACCTCCAAGGTCCCTTCCAACTTTATTATTATTAGTAGTAGTATAGTATTAATATATTTTCCTATGGCTGAAATTATATAACTCACTGATAAATGCATGTTTTTATTAATGGAAAAAGTAAGCAATTCCATGAAGATTCATTGCTATTGGAACAGTATAAAGCACCATGAATGGCAGGTTCAAATGAGACACTAAAGTGACAAAACAGAGTAAGTGAGGAAACCAGAAATTGGCATTTTACTTCTAAGGGTGAGATGGTTGAGACATAGGACACAAAAGCTCGTGGGAGAAACAAAAGAAGAAATGTCTCTGAAGTAATGGTTCAGATCTTGTGTAGCACTGTTTTATGAAAAAAAACCAAACTTAATACAAAAATGCAGACTTAAGATATGCTCCACAACCACCCTATTGAATGAATTTTGACAGCTGTGAAGTGACAAAGAACATACTAGCAAGTCAAATTGACAGCTTCAAACACAAAGAGAATATTTGTAGCTCAGGGTTGAATGGTGAGGTTTCTGGTGCTCTCTGAGCTTGGCTGTTTTCTTGCAGAGGTTTCATTACAAAGGTAATATTATCAGCAGCTGGTAATGAGACTTCTGCAAGAAAACAAGTTCAGAAAGCACCAAGAACCTCACAATCTTCCCTTTCCGTTGTCTGCCTAACACACTCTATTCTCCTTCCATCACTTTGTGTTACAGTTGGAGAAAGGTCAGATTATCATCTACAAAGTTTATCTATTAAATTTGGTTGTGATGGGGTATTTATATTATTTGACAGATCAGATAAACTACAACTTGGGTCTTAAAACAATTCTAATTCCCCCCTTTATTCTTATCATTACAAGAATATGACTATCAGATCTACAGCTCTCCCATCCTTCCTGTGTTTGCCTTCAAAAGAGGATGGAATGTAAGTGATCACTCAGTGGCTCAACAATTCCAAGATTATTTCTCTCTCTGCCAGAAACAGCACTCCTTCTGCTAATAGATCAGTCGACATATTCTAAAACACAGTTGCTACTTAATTCCCCAAAGAGCTAATCAAAGGTTTCAGTTAAAACTTAGCAAGCCCCTTCCATAGTAGTAAAACCTGGCTTATACTGTAAATACATGAGACCAGACTCCAAAGCAATTAGTTAGACGCAGCCAAGTTGGGTTCAGCTCCAGGTGACAGCATGAATCAAATATTCATCATCTTCACTTAACTTCAGTAAGCTTTCTTAATATTTGGAACTCCACTATCACTTCTAGAATCCCCTGAAGAAAAGTGAAATATTTCTCAACTTCTTGATATTATATACAAGAAGTTATCACCCTCTGTTATCTTTATGAAGATGATAGATAACTTTTTGTGTGCAATGAACAGATGACAGAAATATAACTGTTTTGGTTAAAAAATAGGCTTCATGCTTGTCCAAGCTAATTTATCTTACACTGTTGTACAGTGGTACTCATTGTTAATTAGTTCCAGGAGGCATGATGTGTACCAAAAATGATGAGCATCACACAAATTTTCCCCATAAGGCAGGGGTCCCCAACCCTCGGTCCGTGGACCAGTACCGGTCCATGACATGCCAGCAACTGGGCCGCACAAACAAGCAAAGTCCCATCCGCGGGATGCAGGCAGCACATAAAACGATGCCCCCTCCGGTCCATGGAAAAACCTCTCTCCATGGAACTGGTCCCTGGTGCCCAAAAGGTTGGGGACCTCTGCTATAAGGAATAATGTAGTGAGTCACAATGTAGCCGACACCAGCAATTTTTAGCTTATGTATCAAGACCAAACAAACGATGAGTATCAGGACAAAATGTTCATGTCAAAATGCATTGAGTACCAAATTCAATGTGTTTCAAAGCAGTTGAATACTAAAGTACCACTATATTTATTTTTGTTAATAAAAAGTTATTGGAAAATGTCTATATTCTACATACAAGGGATAGGTCTGACATTCATTTTTACATTTCATTTTTCACTGATGAAAATGTTTGTGTTGTCATTCCCTCTCTCAATTTCTCTCTCTCTCTCTCTCTCTCTCTCTCTCTCTCTCTCTCTCTCTCTCTCTCTCTCTCTCTCTCTCTCTCTCTCTCACACACACACACACACACACACACACACACACACACACAAACACACACACAACACTATAACTTATTTACAACAACTTACTCTTTAGGAGGATTTAGGTCCTCTGGCCTTGTCTCAAAAAACTGAAGAACCTCATCACACTGAGAAATGTATGGTGGCAGCTGGATCAGAGCCTGAAAAACAAACATACCTGTGATTTATAAAACAGTGATATTTAATCAAAATAGTAAGCACTTGGAAATGCATCAAAGGTTGACTGTCAGCTTTATTAGACATGAATGGACATTTTAATGAAAAAAAGATAGCATGGATCCCATTTCATATATTTGGGTTACTAACTAAATAGAATAAAGACCAGAACATTGCTGGAAACAATTGAAGAGTAAGTAAAAAAAATGTTTATGTATGTAGTAGAAACAATGGTTTGAAAAAAAAAGTTGATTATGAATTGTCTTGATCCTAACACTTAAGCACCCTTGCCATATATTTTGAATTCCTGGGCAAATTACTTACCTTTTAATTCACCAGTTTGCCCATCTGTTAAGATTTATCAATACTATTGCCTACCATGTTGTGAATGGATGCCCATGACATTTTTACAAAATTAACATTTTTAAACAGATTGAAGATCTGCAGTTGGTAATATTAACTTTTCCATAATGTTCAGGAGTACTCAAATACATTTATATACATCTTCTTGGTAGAAACCTTAGTAATCTCTTTTGCAGACTACTTTTGTAGATAAGTGATTAGGACAGAGAATGAGAGAAAGTGGTTTGTTTAAAGGCATATAAAAAATAATAGCAAGATCAACACACTTTGTCATCTGAAGTAGCAAAACCATCGCAATTTTGTGACTTGCTTGCTTTGACATTGTTGAAAATTTATCCACATGCTATGTAAAGCATAGCCTATTGTTTTAATGTAATGTGTAAATTCAATTGTGATTTCATTAATAAACCACAGCATAATTATAAAGCCACCGTTTCCAGTGTGAATAACCATTTGCTGAAAGCAGAGAGAGATTTGTACAGCTTCTTAGGCTTTGAAAATGCCATAAATATTCCCTGATAATGTTACAGAACAGAAACAGAGAATCTAATTAATAAAAAGGAACACAAAGTTTAATTTTAGTTTTAATTGACTATGCTATCTTAATTTTTTCATATATCCAGATTTTCTTTAACTTTCATGGATCTACTTCAAATGGCTTCATTACTAGCTGGAATACTCCAGAACTCCAATATAGAAAGTACAAATTCTGCTAAATTCTTCTTTTCAGACTCCTCATTTATTTTCTTCTATAAAAATTAAATCTAGCTTTCAAAATAGCAGGTTATGGTCATAGGTCCGAGTCAATTAGCTCATATCATCACCTTGAACATTTATTTTTCTTATGAATAAAGGCAAACATTTATTTTTCTCCCCACCAGTACTCTAAAGGAAAAGGTTAAAAAAAATACTCTATGTGAACCAAACAGGAAAAAATGAAGTAACCCCTCTAGGGCAGACATGTCAAACTCGCGACGTCACCTGACGTCGCGCAACGTATCAGGACTGTTTTGCCATTGCCGGCAATGGGGTGGGTGTGGCTTCCACGTGACGCGTCCAGCCCACGGGCCAGCAGTTTGGCACCCCTGCTCTAGGGAGTTGGAAACATGGTTATTTGGCTATTGCTCAGGAAACTCAACTCCTCTCCACTGGAAGGGAACAGGAATAAAATTTTTACATATCTTATAAAACTTTTTATGTAGTGTTGCTATAAGAGGCAACCTGGCAACCAAGTGTTGCCTAAATGCATTTCTGCTATTCCTAAGGAAGGCTTTCTACATCATGACTGGCCTCAGAGGCAGATCTTCTCAATAAACGTTGCCAGCCAGCAAATAAGCAATAACTGATACTCTCTAATTTAATCTGAATTAGTTTAGATTAGTTTATAAACTAACCTATTTCCCCCAACAAATTATTTTCTTTCAACATTCTCCATCTACACAGCAGACTTAGAAATATAACAAAATCTGGAAATCCTTTCTTCTGTTAGCCCTTTTGGGTAGATCCAATCAGAAAACAGACTCCAAAGGACTAAAGTTAACTAGAATTGTAATTAACTGAGATGGGTTATAGTAACAGGATCTTGCAAACCTGATTGTGCTTTATTTCCCTTTCCTTATATAACCCAGTGAATCAAAGAGGACCCTGCCTGAGTCTCCTCTGAATACTATCTTCCTTCCCAGGACTTAAGGAATGTTTCAGCCCTCTTAGCTTAAGTAACAGTTCTTCTCTAGTCCTTCTTGAGTCTCTACAGTTTCTGCTTAACTATAAATGCAGGCATTTGTCTAACACAAGATATCTATTTTATCTTTCCACACCTGTTATTCTGCCAAGGATCCAAGACTTTTTAAGCTATATATAAATTCATAAAGACACTATTGGAAGAGGTCAACTGCTAACTACTAAGAAATCTGTATTACCGGTAGCTTTCCATAATCTCATGCACTTCAGATATGTTTGGGAACCAGTTTGGAGAATTCCTACTCAGTTAAGTAGGAGTTAAGTAAGAAACAGTTCTAGAGGGTACTAAATTGGGAAAACTAAATCTATTCCTTTAAATTAACTTAAGTTTCCCAACATGCATAATACATTCAGGCATATACTGATTTTTCTTTTATTATAGCAATACCAGATAAGGATATCTTTAAGAAACAAAAGGGGAAGAATAATCTACTTTAAATGGTTAATTTTAAAAACTTACATAACTGTATGAATGTTAAATTGATTAAAATTCATGTAAACATTTTTAATAAACCAACAAATCTCTTTCATAAAATAGGTCCAAGATGTAATTCATTTAGTCGTCATTGGCCTATTAGGTATTTTAAATGTGGAATTTGATTATTTCTTTATTTGTGTCTTTCTTTTTCATTAAAAAGAAATAACAGATGATCAAGCAGAGATCTAACCTTGAAGTAAGGAGAAATTTCTTGACAATGAGAGCAATTAACCAGTGGAATGGTTTCCCTCCAGAAGTTGTGGGTGCTCCATCACTGGAAGTTTTTAGGAAGAAATTGAATAGCCACTTGTCTGGAATGATATAGAGCAGTGGTGGCGAACCTATGGCATGCGTGCCAGAGGCGGCACTCAGAGCCCTCTCTGTGGGCACATGTGCCATCACCCCAGCCCTGCCTCCCCTCACAGCCCCCTCCACACCAGCAGCCCCCCTGGAGAAGAATCCCCAAGGACATGGCAGCCGAGGACATGGCAGCCGGACAACAGGGACAAGACACTGCACTCATGCCCCATCGTGCACAGATGATGCTGCAGGACGGGGGCAGAGGGCGTGGCTGCCATGGCACTGCTGGGCTGCCTGGGCAATCTGCGGCGGGCTGTGGGTGGCCATGTGGGTGGGGGGGCACGGGCAGTTTTTGGGCACTCAGTTGCTAAAAGGTTCGCCATCACTGTTATAGGGTCTCCTGCCTGAGCAGAGGGTTAGACTAGGAGACTTCCAATTTTCTTCCAACTCTGTTATTCTATATTCTGCTTAGCATTTGGAACCAGCAAATATCAATATGATGGTAAACCTGATTTCCATGTAGGTTTTCCCACCCAATGGTCAAAAGCATTTCATAACATTCATTCTGAGAATGCCTAACTCTTTTCTATTAAAAGTTAGGATGCCTAACTTTTCTATTCTATTTCTATTAAATCTCCTGTTACTATGCAATGGCTATTTCTTCTTGGATTTTTGGGCTATGATACTATATTATTGAAAGAATTTATCACTTATTTTCATAAAAATATTACAAGATCATCCTTGGAAATGATACTTCCCCTCTTTATTTCTCCCAAGAAAGCAAAATAAGAGAAGTGATAGTTGCTTATGCAGCTTGTCAAAAGGACGTGGTTAATCTTATTCTTGCAGCATTCAGCAACATTTGCTAAATATCCACAACCACAGCAATTTCCATGTTTTATTTTGTTTTTACTTATATGGGAAGATTTCCCCCCTGTCTCTCATGGGAGAAAGTACTAAACCAAGGATACTACTATTGCTGAAGTGAAAATCATACTGGGAGAAACTGGAATTGCTGACATACAGGTTCCATAGCATTTTTACAACCCCTTCTCCCTAGTCACCAAATCCATACAGTATGTGCCATTAGTCAGAAGGCAGTGCAGTTTATGAGACTCACCAACTTAAAAAAAAATGCTAGAATGGCCTATATTACAATTATAATTATGCTAAATTTATTTGGTATATTTAATCTTAAAACCTGGGACTGTTGTTTAGAAGCTGGTTCAGTTTTGCATACCATTGTCCCCTCTGTGCATTTTCCCCAAAGAAACAAATATTTTAGAAACATATTAAAATAATATGCAATTAACTTGGGACCACAAAAGCAAATTATGTAGTAAACCAAACATACAAAGGGTGCAAATGATAAAAAAATCCAGAATGATTTCTTCCTGTGGCTTGTAAATGATACTACTATTGATGAAAACTGAAACTGATTTGAATTTTCTACAGCCATATTGTATTGTGAAATCATGTTCAGTGTGCAATCAACTATTTCTTCAAGATTGTTCTCAAAAACAGACCCAGAAAACTACAGAAACACACCCAGGAAACTACAGACCAATCAGCCTGGCACCAATACATGAGAAGATACTAGAAAAGATAATCAAAAAACAAATCTGTGAACATCTAGAAACAACTACAGTTATAACTAAAAGCCAGCATGGGTTTGTTCAAAACAGATCATGCCAAACCTATCTTATTTCATTCTTTAACAAAGTGACTAAATTAGTAGACCAGCAAAATGCCATGGACATAGTATACTTAGACTTTAGCAATGCATTCAACAAAAGTAGACCACAACCTACTTCTTGGTAAGCTAGAAAAATGTGGGATAGACAGCATCACCACCAGATGGATTTATAACTGGCTGATAAACTGTACTCAATGAGTCATCCTTCATGGTACTACATCTACATGGAGGGAAGTAAGCATTGGGGTACCACAAAGTTCCATCTTAGACACAGTACTCTTTCAATATCTTCATAAATGATTAGATGAAGTAATAGAAGGGGAACTCATCAAATTTGCAGATGACACTAAATTTGCAGGAATAGCTAATATCCCAGAAGACAAGCTCAGAATCCAAAAAGATCTTGA